AGATTAGTAACAGTGGTTTCTTTTATAAGTCGATAAACAGATATTTCAATAAAATTGGTTTGTGCTATAATCATATGTATTATATTTTATGCATTTAAACACACCATTCCAGGGCCCCTAGGCTTTGTCAGACTGTCAAAGTGCACCATGGAGTAAATCAGAGAAGACCTTGGCCTGGAGATTGATAAAGCCACACTAATGTGGCACTCTGATATGTGAGAAAGAGACCTTGTCCTCTGGCTGGGGAGCTAGGCTGCCTGTGAATTATCTATGCTATGCGGTGTTATTTAGTGCATTCCTTTTCCTTATAAGCCTCTTCTTTCAGTCTTTATTACTCCCATTCTCTTTTTTTGCCTTCTCTTATTCTTATTGTTTTGTTTTGTTTTTCCCCCCCCCCCATCCTTTGGTTTAGGTTTACTATCAGGTATGTCTTAGTCTTACTGTGCTAAGTATCGGGTTCTCTTCCTTTGGGTAGGTTTTTTGTGGTTGCTGTTTTTGTTTTGCCATGCTTCTCTTACTCCTCTTTCTCTCTTGCCCACACCTTTCCTACCTTTCTGTGCTGTTGTCTGCTGCCTCTAGCTTGGCCCTTCTGACTTGGCTGGCACACACCATACCCCTTTCACAGGTTTTGTAGCGGAAGCACTGGGTATCAACAGTCCACAGTACATCTTCCCTTTGGGAATCATTTTCAGTTTACTAGCAGACACTGTTTCTGAGCCACAGTTAAAATAACAAACTGGCCACTCCAATAAATGACCACACAACACATAGTAGCAGGAAAATAAAAGCTTTGAAACCCTAAGCTTAAATATAATTGTGGAAAGGGTGAAAAGTATTCCACTTAATAATCCGTGATGGCCAGACATCTAGGGAAGATCAGCAGCCTGGACCAGGACTCTTCTCAGTGCATAAATTCCCAGTGCAGCATAGGAAAAGCATACTGCTTAGTCACTGCTAACAGGGGGAGCCCTCTGTAGCAGGCCTATACAATGATTATTTCTCCAAATCAGAGCTCAGGTTAGAAGACTCAGGGGAAAGCCATGAGACCTCATGACCTTTGTGCTTTAGCTTTAGAGAACTATGCACTGTGCCTTCAGCACGGCCCTCACCAGAGGACATATTTGTCCTGAACTATTATAGCAGTCTCTCCCAGTAAGTTACTGAATATTTCTTCTATCAATGACCTAAAATTGGAAGGAAGAAGGGAAGGAAGGAAGGAAGGAAGGAAGGAAGGAAGGAAGGAAGGAAGGAAGGAAGGGTGGGAGGGAGGGAGTGAGGGAGGGAAGGAAGGAAGGAGACAGGGTGGGGGGGCAGGTGGTAGAGGAGGAAAAGAGAATAAAAGGAAACTAATCTGTATTTGGAAACATACTTACCACTTTGTCAAATATTACTCCATGGTTGAGGATAGCTTCACATATTTGTAATATTTGTTTCCATTTTATTTCTAATGAAAGGCATCTAAAGCATTTTTTTAAACTGTCTGAAAATGCAGTGACATTTGCACTGGACAAGTATTAACATAAAAGGTAGCTGAGAGAGCTTAGGATAAAATGAAACTGTAAATTTCATAACCTTTCCTAATCTGTTCATTTATTCTCCTAAAGAATAAAATCTGGTTTTATTTGGGGAGGATTTTTTTTTTTTTAAGTATTTACTCCTTTATCTATTTTGAAAGAACTATATGGCTCTTACTATTAACTTACCAGCTGTGGTGGAGAAATAGTATGTTCAAACCTATCAGCTTTTGAGAAGATTCCAGATTTCATTCTCATATGAAATGACCATTTCATTTGTCATTGTCATGTTGAGATGTATTAACTCACTAAGTTTTTATAAAGTATATGTGGATATAGACTAACATCTAAGGTATAAGAGCTTCCATCATGACTCCAAACCACTTATCAAATGAAGTTCACAAAGTCAGAATCGGCCCATAATAAAATAAATACAAAATTTATTAATCTTATGGATTATTCAAATCTAAATATAGATTAAGATATTTTATATTTGTTTAAAATAAAATCTATAAAGGTAAAGCTTCTCAGGTCCTACTCTCAGCTTTTTTTTTTTTAGCATCTTCTTCAAACTCTTTCTACAGAACCTTATTATTTAGCTGCTCTTGCTATTAAAAATAGTCAAGATCAGATATTCTAAATCTTGATTATTTTTTATTTTCAAATATCTAACCCAAGACTTTTAACTCATACTGTGTATTGTATAAGCATATCTATTCATTGTGTTCTGAATAAAAGTTTTTATTTTTTCATATCCTTTGTCTCAGAGCATATTGCTTAATAGTAATTGTTATTCTAAATGTCAACAAACTCATATTTATATGATTTAAGATAAAGGCACACCCCAAAGAATTTCCCCAGAAGATGTGTGATGTGGGACTTTTGATACTGCACCACACAGAAGCCACAATAAAATAAGTCGAGGGGATTGGACCACATAAGTAAGATAAGGATACAGCTCCTATAAATAAAGTAGGAACTGGACACCAGAATGTCTGCCCAGGTTCCAAAGGATTCCCCTTCCTGTGGTCCCTGGGACAGAAACCATTTCTTTTGGATATTGTCACACTTAATTTCAGTGTTACATCTCTTTTCTTTAACACTGCTGCAACTCAACTAAGCTGGTATCCACACCTCCAGAAGGTCACCCTTCTGGATGATCTGGTTTTGAATGGCTCTTCCTGAAGAGTGGGGCAGCTGTGCAAGTTTTTCCTACTTGCATAAAAACAAAATTGGTTTCTAATGAATTCTCTGGAGAATGAATGCTTCCCCTTGAGATAACTGGGGTCTTGGGGATTCAGAACAGTCGACCTGACACAAAAGGCAGACTGAGGTTGGGGGTAGGAAAAAAAGGAAGAAGAGGAGCAGCTCTTAGTGCACACTGGATCTCTGTGGGCATTTTGGTCACACCTGAGTCCCTCAGCAGCCAAGCCTCACCTCCATCTTCCTCCACCCATCCCTCCTCTGACAATAATGTTGACTCACTCTCTTCTTTTCTTCTTCCACCTCCCTCACTATAGGATGACCTAGGTCCTAGTGTGCCACAGCATTAGAGATAGAAATCCTATTCCAGGTGACATAAAAGGCACCAGGTTTCCACCATCTGTCTATGACTCTTGCCCTGCTGATGTGATTCTGAAAAACAGGATTCTTCTATCCCCCCTATTAATTATGACTATTACTGTAGTCATAGTCAATATTACTATTGACTTTGTGTTAGTTTGTCTCCAAAGAGAGGACATCCTGGTACTATAGAGAAAAGACATGAGGTGTTCTTGGAAACTAGAGCTTTGTCTCATGAAATGCTTAAAGGTGTATGAAATCCTCAAGTGACTGGAGAAAGCCCCCTTTGTTGAAGGGGCTAGGTAGGCAAGGAAGTGACAAATATTACTGGAAGTGACAAAGAACTATTTTTCCTCTTTCTGAGCCTCAAGTACAGAAATATATTGTTTTGCCTCAGCTTTACATCAGCATAAACTTTAATAAAAAGTGAAAAATCCATGAGAAATCCAATAATTCATGCCATTGTATTCAAAAGAATGTTTCCTGTGATAGGAAAAATTCCCTATTATTTTCACAAATACTTGGAAGTATGGAAGGATGAAGCAACTCAATCTAACAGAAGACTTTGCTAAAATCATTAGAAATCATTTAATCTTATTTAGAATCATCCAGAGGAGGCTTGCATAGTTAATTTTTGTTGATCTGAAGACTTATAAATATTCTGCAAACTTTTATTTTTGCAAAAAGAGTCACATTTGTGGTAGCTTATTCATTATATATGGTATAGTTTTTCTGGTTATGCTGATTGAGAAGCATTTATGGGAAAATAAGCAAAACACTCTTTTTAAAATAAAAATTATTTTCCTGATTGATTTTAAGATGCTAAAAAAATAGCGGGAGTGAGCATAACTTATTTATGTATAATGGTACCATATTTGAGCAAGGGTCAAAAGGCAGTGGTTCTAGCATTAATTATGCTACAAATGCACCAAGTGGCCTTGAGCTCAGCATTGAATCTCCTCCCTGAGTCTGGATTGGGTGGGATGATATCTGAGATTCCTCTTAGCTCTAATTCTGTGACTCAATTCAGAGAGAGGCTTTCCTTTGCCAAATACAATTGCTACATAAAACTGCCTCTAGTTCTTGACCACAGAGCAAATCCCTGTTCATATTTGGATCCCTCCTTCCATTTATCTATCTTCCTATTTAAAAAGAGAATGTCTACGAAAGGTTCAGAAGAGAAGTCCAGTACCAGTAGCCAGTTCTCTAAATCGATTTACAGTACTAGTATTCCACTATACCAAGATGTACCCCACCAAACTTTGAGACAGGCGATATGCAACATCAGTCTTCCCAATACTCTGGTCACAGGGGCTCACAGGCCAGGACTGGCACTCATAGGATGCCCCTGCAGTTTGGAGTAAAGGGTTAGGGGCCTTGCTCATGCTTCCTTCTAGACAAAGGGTTTTCAGTACCAAATAGGGCTGGGAGTATGGGACATACTCAGTGTTCTCTGCTCACCAGACCAATCAGCACCACCATTTCCAGACTGAATGCCAATAAGCAGATAACTTGATTTCTTCAATACTGGGTTTCCCCATCTATAACATGAGATAAGTATCTCTACCCATCTTTCAGGACTGTTGTGAGGGTTAAATCTAACACAAGCACACACAATATCACATATAGTGTCTGGAATAGAGTAAGAACTCCAAACCCGCTAGCTAGCGCTGATTGTTACATTACTATTTGTCTCCTCAGAACAGTTCAGCAACCTGAAATAAACCCACCTTGGTGTGGATCTGGAGTCTTTCCTCAAGTTACCAAGGGACATGTTCTAACTTGTTTCTACACGCAAAAAGAAGTGGCCAGAGCGCAAATTCAGACGACAGATAAGCATTCAGAAAGAAATGAGCCCAGCGAGCGGGGGCGGGGGTCAGAGCTAAATCTCGTGGAGTGCGAGTTTTAAGTCTAGGATCCTACCTCAGGTATCCAGGTGCTTGTGAAGAAGCCCGGCTCTCTCACCAGGCCTGGCCTGTGAGGGTGTGGCCTTTGTGCTCAGGAACTGCACCAGGAGCCTGAGCGCAGGGAATCCCCGTTCTGCTCCTTGGGGCTCTGGAGTTTGCCACCGCTAAGGCAGGGAGCTACCTACTCCAGGGGTGCCCCGGAATGGGAGGGACTGACCTCGGGATTTCTCCCGGGAGCCCTGGCGAGTCGACGTTTCCTTCGATGTGGCCAAGGCGAGGGACCCAGAAAGAGGAACTGCTCTGAATTTTGCTTTTTCCCAACTGGTACAAAGGAGCAGGAGTCCTCTGTAGGGCACCCGCGGAGAAAGTAAGAAAAGCCTGCACGTGGAAGGCCTGAACAGGGAGGACCTAAAGGTTGTACAGGGTTCCAAACCCACCCAACCAAATGTTTCCCTATAGGGCTACTAGGAACCAGGGATCCACTCTCAGCCAAAGGCACCTCTGGGAGAGGAGCATGCACCTCCTCAGGGAGAGAAGGGTTAAGTGAGGAGCTTGCTGTCCTTGGTAGTCACTGTGCCCCCACCCGGAAATAGGGGGCTAGGTGGATAAAAGGGAGGCGAGGCTGCCTCTTCGAAACAGCTGACTAAGCCCCCTCCCGCAAACGGTCTTGCACTCCAGATTGCTGGGGTGCACAGGAGAAAAGAACCTCCCCTTCCTGCATTTACCAGAGCATCTGGAACCACCAGAAGGATCTACCTGGAAACTGCAAGGTGGGCAGATCCACCTCTGCCTGGGCTCCCAGGTCTAAGAGCTGGGTCTCCCCTCGCCCGAGGCCCACACCTCCTAGCTCTGCGTTACCCTGCGCGCCCTCCAGCTCTGTGCTCCCCAGCCTCCCAGGCGCAGCACAGGGCTCCCCCCACTCCCTCGCTCCGCCCAGGTGCGATTTGTGGAGGGGCGGGAGAAAGTGGCTCCCACCGCAGCCTCCGCTCCTGCGCTCTCATCCAACCACTTTGGACCCCTGTTTACTCGCCGGGCGCTGGGGACTCCCCTCTACCCCACACACACGTCTCCCCCTGGGAGGCAGGAGTCCCCTTCCTACACTGCGGCTGCGGAAACATCCTTGACTCCCGAGCGCCTGGCAGAGAAGGTGGGCGTGGGTCTACCGACCTGGCTGCGGAGGTGAAGGAACGTAGAAGCAAGCGGGTGCCAGAGAAGAGAGCAGACTATGGTCCTCTTAGAGCATAGAGAAGCATCCCTGGTCCGCGATCTGACCATTCAGTCACCACCCAAGATGCCAACGCATTCAGATTCTCGCGGGGAGGTTTGTTTGCTTATGGGGGGAGAGATCGCCCCATCCCAGGCACTGAGCAGCCTGCCTTCCCAAGTACCCAAGGGCCCGGCATTCCAGGGCTCCATTCCTTGTCTCCACGCGCCCCCAGGTACCCAAGCCCCTCCCCCATCTGTATTTACATACCCAGGCCAGCGCCCTCCGGACTCAAATCCCTTTTCCTCTTCGTCAGATGGCCTCTCAGGGCTGGCCCCTCGTCCACATTAGCAGTACCTTTTCACTTCCCTCAATCGTGGGCAGATCTACCCGACCCTCAGCTTCCTCCTCCACCGCACGAGCAGCCTTTCCCTCCCTGAGCCACTTACTTCACCCACCCATATCTGCACTTGCAGTTCCCACGGCGCACAGCCGCAAGCCACTCCAAAGGTTTCATTGCCGAGTTGGGGGTGGCGTGTGCAAGGATGGACTGACTCCCATCGCGCTGGACGAAGCTTCAGGGGTGGCCGCAGCCATCCTCCACGTCCCACCTCTCTTATTTCACCTTCTCTGTCCCTACCGAGCTCCTAGAGGCAGGATGAGCACTGCTGGGTCCCAAACCCTCGCCTCAGGAGCCAGAGCTGCGGGGAGTGAAAAGTCGACCGGCAAAAACACACAGAGAGAAATGGGCAGATGCATATGGCAAGAGGGGCTGGGGGAAGGGCGAATGCAAGAACTAAACCTGCAACTTGCACAGCACGGGGTGAGCACCGCGCAGGGAAGGGTCACAAAAGTTTGCAGACTATTGTATAGCAGCCGGCTGAACAGGAGCAAAGAGGGTCGACTATATCTCTCCAGGAGGAGGAGGTCTCTCCCAGGGTCTGCGCAAAAGGGATCGGGGCGGGGGCTTAGAAAGGCATGGCTTAGAACTGAGGTAATAGTTCTCTACTTGTTCCTTGGAGGGACGGCCTAGGTACCCGGGGAGAGGGATGATCCCGCGCGCTGCGAAAAGCAACAGGCGGCTGCACCTTACCTTGCGCCAGTCCCGGGCCGGGGTGGCTGCTCCATCCTCGTGGCTCAGGGAGGAGGCGTTGGGTGCGTATGCTTAGGGGTGTGCGCGCTGCCAGGGCTGCAGCGGCCACCACCTCCAACCAGCTGCAAGCCGAGCTGCCCACCTGGGACCGGGCCGGCCCGGCGGGCTTGGCTCCAGGCGAAGGCGGCGGGGTTGGTGCGCGGCGGCTGGGTCGCGGGACGCAGGCAGTGCGTGGCGCGGGTGGCGTTTTCGGGCGCCGCCACCGAGCGAGGGTGCGGCCCCGGGCTGCCGTGCGGGGCACGACTTGGCTCGCGTTGCTGCGGCGGCCGCTGCAGACCCTGCTCCAGGCGCTGTAGCCTTGCAGGAAGAGCAGACAAAGACGCGAGAGTGGCAAAGCGCCGCTTGCCCAGATGCAGTCGGCTCAGTCACTAGAGGGAAATCGCCTCCAAACCCAGCCTGGGGATGAGGGAGGAGGGGCGAGGCGGCTGGGGACTAGAAAAGCAGCAGGGAATTAACGTGACAGTCAGAGTCCAGCCAGCGCCTCGCCGGCGCTGCTCTCTCGCCTCGCATTTGGGGGGTCCGGAAAGGAGAGAGGGGGCGGGGGCTGAGCGTTGGCTGCAGGAGACCAGCTGAGGTAGGAGTATTAACTCCCTCCGCTGCTCTCGCCTTCCTTCCTCGCACCCCCTTACACAGCTCTACTTGCAGCAGTCTATGGCCCCATTCCTTCCCCTATTTTTCTAACTACTGAGATCAGAGCTGAATTAAACTGGTGAAAGGAGCAAAACGTGCAATGGATTGATTGCCCTCCTTGGGGGAAAAGCGGAGGCTTAAAATCAATTCGACAAATGAGTGTTTACTGGGTGCCGAGTACTGTGCTCCTCTATTGTGAGGGAGGATTATGAATAAGGTACCCCCCTCCCGCCCCAGGTTCCATTGTCAGATCTCAGAATCAGTTTCCCCTGCAGTTCTGGAAGCCCAAAGTTTCGGGGTTGAGTTGTGGTCCCTGATCCCTACCCTCAACCCATCTAGCTTTCTAAAGCAGAAGAAGGTGCAATTCAATTTTCCCTTCTCCTTCCTGGGATGACTTTAATGTGCAGCCGAAATGGAGTCTCTAGGCCCCTTAAAAAGCGCGCGCACGCCATTGTGCGTGTGTGTGTGTGCGCGCGCGAGTGTGAGCGCGCTCGCGTTTGCGCGTGTGTTTTAAGAGTAAGTCAAATTACTGGTTTTAGTGATGTTCTTATTTCATGATTTTAATTATTTACTATATCTGCACTAGACACCAATTTGCGGCAGAGGAACCCGGCTCTCCAGACTCTACAAATACCACCTTTTCTCTAAAGCTTTTTTCCACTATCCCAGTCCTCTGACAGAGAGGAAGAAATCTTTCCCCTCTCTTTGCCCTCTCAGAATTTTATTTGACAATAACTTGCGGAACTTATATATTTAGAGATTTATCTCTTCACTCACATATGAGTATTCCCTGTGCTTTTTGTTTGTTTGTTCTCACTGCAACATCCAGCAGTGTTTTGTATCTAATGGGTACTCAAGGAAAGCTTATCCAGTTGAAGGTCATTTTCTCCTTCAATATGAGCTAAATCTCACTGTCTCTAGAATTAAAGAGACTCCAGGGATGAAACTTTTGATTTAGGGTGTGGTGGAGGGAGCCACACATCCAGCTAGACTCACAGTCCCTTTACTGGAAAGGTAAAAATATATATATATTTAATTCATTTTGGTCTCTAGACAATCAGTCTTCTTCCACTGACCACCCACCTCTGTTTTCTGAATTCCCAAAAGCAGAAGAAAACCAAGCTGCTGAGCAACTGCATAGAGCAAGGCATATATTTTCAGCTGCCAGCACCTAGAGCAAACCCATTCCAAGTGGAGAATGACCAAAAAATCTCGATTATTTCATGACCCGTGTCGAGTATGTTGAAAGCCTGCCAGTTTCCTCATTTCTATTGAGGCACTCTTATTCTGGATGCATTTTACAACAGTTTGAACAGTGTTACATTGCTGAGAGGTGAAGAAAATTGCTTTGTAGTTTAAGGATATTTAAATTTGCTTGTTTGTTTTCTGTCCCACCTTCTACGAATTACAAGATAGATACCTCAGATCAGGAATGCTCCATGAAAAAGTAGGTCCATAAAGCAGGAGATTAGACTAAATGACTCTTAAGCTATCTTCTGTCTCTGAGACATTATGATACTGTGATTTGAAAGATTGTGGTTTCAAGTTTGTTTTTTTTTTTTTTAATTTTTGTTTTTTAAAAGACATTTTAGAATACAAACATAGATACATTTGGATAGCAGGTATGTAATTTGGTGTAGTTTTTCTGAAGGAAAATTTGGCATTGCTGTTGAAAGCATAACATTTTTACACTTCATTTTTCCAGTGACTCTAATTCTTCAAATTCATCCTCAGGAAATAACTGAGGTTGAGCAACAAGATTTATCTACCTGGGTATTCATTGCAGTGTTGTTTATATTAGTGGAAAATTGAAAAGAAACAAAACTAAACTCAAAAGACTACCAAGAGAGGAATGGTGAAATATTTTGTAAATCTATCCAATGGAATATCAGTCAGACACTAAAATGTTGTAGGTGAATAGGTGAATATTATCATGATTTATGGTTGTAATATAATTTTAGTCAAAAATTTCAGGTGCACAAAGTGAGATGTAGAATAGTAAAAAATAAAATCTGGAGTTGACAAATCTGGGTTTGAAACCAGGCATTTCTACTTGCTGACTTTGTGATTATGGACCTGAACCTCCAATACATAGACTGTGTAATTGGGTTGATGCTATTTACGTTGTAGTATTGTTGCAATTAAGTGGAATAGCATTTACGAAGCACTTAGCATAGTGCCTAATACACAGAAAATCTCAATATATTAAATATATTTATTTGGCAAACAAATGTATAAACATGAGGTTAAGGTATGATATATTTTCTGGTAAAAATATATACATATATAGACTCATTTCTACAGTAAGATATACTTCAAAATTACCAGTGGCTATCTCTGCTGGCACTGGGATTTGGGGTGTCTTTTTAAAAAAATAATCCTATAGTGATCATAAAGTAAAATGATATAGTAAATAACAGCAGAATTTGGTTTTTAATTTAATTGTCTTTTAATTAAAATACTACTAACTATGGACACAGGAAACCTCTCGATTTGGAAGTTCTCTGTTTTTGTTGATTCATCAACAAGTCATCAACATTACTTGTTGACTGTTGGTGTCACCCATGCTATAAAAAGGATAAACGACAGGGCATGGAGTTTGTCACCTCTGATATAAACTTAGATTTGTTTTGTAGCAACCAGAAGTCAAGTGCAGCTCAGCAAAATATGCTGTTTAATATAAAGAGCTGATTGGTTGCTACCCTTGCCTTGTCTTGACAGCCAATACAGAGAGAAGGAGAGAGGAAAAGGAGGGATCAGAAGCTATATTTGTAACTTTTGATTAGTGAACTAGAGAAGGAAGCCTAATGCTGCAGGGCCATGGCCTTCACGTCTACTTTAGTGGCCCCTGTGGGTCAGAGATGGATGGTTTGTACACGTTGTCTGTGTATATTACAAATGTTATAGAAATACGGAGGGGAATATGATTTATTGGTGTTTTCAGTTTAACTTTCTTTAGAAATAGGGACACATGATTTAAAAATCAGTATGTTCCAGAACGTATTTCATGTAAAGGAAATTCTTTGAATTTTACATTGTATTCCCTCTCTGAAACTCTTTACAGAAATGAAAATGCATTTCTCTGAGCCCAGGAATTGATTTTCTGAAATCTGAATCATTGGGGGGCCTGAAACTCTGCTGTTTAATGGATGAATGGGATCAAAACGTGAAGAT